CGGGATGGACTTAGAGAGATTTCGGGGGAGAGAGCAGAAAAAAATAGTATGAGAGAAAAAACCCCATCTCTCTCAACCTTTTTTTTGTCTCGCTTTCCCAAAATCTTTCTCAACCCAATCTTTACCGTTCTCCCGGAATCTCTCTCCCAATCTCTCTATGCCCATTTTTTCTACTCTCTAATTTCTCTAAAGAGAGGAGATAGGCGGGTAGAGAGAGAGGGCCGATGAGAGAGAAAAAACAATACTTGGGTCTAAAGTGTGATACCAAAAGCATTGAGGGGTTGGATGTCTAAAAAATTTACAAAAAAAAAAAAACAACTAGAAGGCCTTGTTTTCCCCATATATCTGCATGACCATATGGTTGTACATTTATCTCTCTCCACTATCACTCCCAAATTAGAGCTTGAAGAAAAAAAAACGGATGTAAAAAAGAGATGTTAGGTATTGGGCGCTTAGGTGGTGGTTAATAACATACGCCAAAAACACAAAAAGTAGGAGAAGGAAAAAGGTAAGAAGGTAGGAGAGAGAAAATTAACAGACCTGACTCCCCCACCTCTAATGGACCACAACGAGTTCAGGAAGCAAACCCTTGCAAGACTCCTTTATGCATGCTCAAGAGTCAAGATATAAAGAGGGCGATCCCCCTACAGAGAGAGAGAGAAGGGGAAAGAAGGGAAGAGAGTCCTTTAAGAAGCCATGTAGAGAGAGAGAGAGACCAGTGTAGATAAGGGGAGGGAGGCCTTTAAAAAGCCATGGAGTGAAAGAAACATAGGGAAGCCAGGCCCACCTCTCTTTTTATCTCTCTAAACATTTATTTTTTTTTTTCTCTCTCTAAACACATTATTTCTCTCTCTCTCTAAACCAGCGTTTTAAAAAACGCCGAGTCGAACCGGACTTCGACTCGGAAATCATGAAAAGGGGACCGGATCGCCAAAAAAATCGGAAATCGTCCGGTTCTAGAGAGAACCGGACGATTCTATACAGTGAATCGCCGATTCACTGTACGGAATCGGGGAGTCCGTACGGTTTATTTTT